TATTTTTTAATGCTTCTGGTATCTATAGTGATGTGCTTTCTCTTTCCTGATATTGCTAATTTGTTCCTTCTCTCTTTTTTTTTCTGATCAGTCTGGCTAGGGTTTTATCAATTTTATTGATCTTTTCAAAGAATCAGATTTTTACCTTTAGTATCAGGGTTTTACTTTTAGTTAGATGGGAATACATTGGATGGTTTTGAGAAATGACATTACTTGATTTTATATTTTAAAAGGATCAGTCTGGTTGCTAGGTGAAGAATAGGAAAGGAGTTAGAAGCAGGAAGAACCACTTAAGTGATGATTGCAATAGTGAAGTCTACAATGAAAATGGAACCTACTGGAATTTTGCTCTGTTCAGTAGATGTATACAGTGATATCGGGAAAAGAAGATCCAGTACTTAAAATTATTCCTGAGGCACTCTAAACTTTATAAGTTTAACAGCAGCCAGTGAGGTAGGAAAAGAACCAAGAGGTATCCCAAAAGCCTAGTGAAAAAAGAATTCAAGAAGGTGGGAGTTATGAACTGTGTTGTGTGTGTATGTTTTTGTTCTTTCTGAACCGTTTGAGAGAACATTGCATTCTCCCTCACTCCTTAATACTTCTGTGTGCACATCCTAAGAATGAGGATATTTTCAGTATAGTTTTCAAGTTCAGGAAATTTAATATTGATGTAATACTTTTCTGTAATCTGTAATCCGTATTCCATTTTTGTCGATTATTCCAGTAATGTCCTTTGTAGAATTTTTTCCTCTGGATCCAGTCCAGAATCACATTTGCATTTTGTTATCAAATCCCTTTAGTCTCCTTTAATCTGGGACAGTTACTCAGCCTTTCTTTGTCTTTCCTTATACTAACTTTTTTAAATTTTATTTTTTTTGTGCTTTAGGTGAAAGTTTACAGCACGAATTAGTTTCTCATTCAAAAATTTATATACAAATTGTTTTGTGACATTGGTTGCAATCCCTGCAATGCATCGGCACTATCCCCCTTTCCCTTTATGCCCCAGGTTTCCCATGTCTATATGCCCAGTTTTCCTGTCCCTTCCTGCCTTCCCATCCTTGCTTTTGAGCAGGTATTGCTCATGTGGTCTCATAAACTTGATTGAACTAAGAAGCACGTTCGTCATGTATGTTATCGTTTGTTTTATAGACCTGTCTAATCTTTGGAAGAAAGGTGGATTTTGGGAGTCGCTGTGGTTCTGAGTTAGCAGGGTGTCTGGGGTCCATAGACTCTGGATCTCCTCCAGTCTCTGTCAGACCAGTAAGTCTGGTCTTTTTTTGTGAATGTATATTTCATTCTACATTTTTCTCCTGCTATGTCCGGGACCCTCTATGGTGATCCCTGTCAGAGCAATCAGTGGTGGTAGCTGGGCACCCTCTAATTTTTCTGGGCTCAGGCTGGTGGAGGCTATGGTTCATGTGGTCCATTAGTCCTTTGGATTAATATTTACCTTGTGTCTTTGGTTTTCTTCATTCTTCTTTGCTCCGTTCAGGATGGGATCAATAGATGTGTCTTAGATAGCCATTCACAAGCTTTTAAGACCCCAGATGCTACTCACCAAAGTAGAATGTAGAACATTTTCTTCATGAACTGTGTTATGCCAATTGACCTAGATGTCCCCCAAGACCATGGTCCCCAGCCCTCAGCCCCGGTAACTGGGTCCCTCAAGTTGTTTGGATGTGTCTAGGAAGCTTCTGTGACTTTGCCTTGGTCAAGCTGTGCTAACTTCCCCTATGTTGTGTGTTGTCTACTATCTAGTTAGTGATTCTCCCTCCCCAACCCTCCCTTGACTCGTAACCATAAAAGATTGTTTTTTTTTTTTCTGTGTGTAAACCTTTTCTTGAGTTTTTATAATAGTGATCTGATACAGTATTTTTCCTTTTGTGATTGACTTCTTTTACTCAGCATAATGCCCTCCAAATTCATCCATGTTGTTAGATGTTTCACATATTCATCATTGTTCTTTATCGTAGTATAGTATTCCATTGCATGTACGTGCCATAATTTGTTTATCCATTCATCTATTGATGGGCACTTAGGTTATTTCCATCTTTTGGGTATTGTGAATAAAGCTGCAGTGAACATGGGTGTGCAGATGTCTGTTTGTGTCACGGTTCTTATTTCTCTAGGATACATTCCTAGGAGTGAGATTGCTGGATCGTATAGTATTGCTATTTCTAGCTTTTTAAGGAGGTGCCATATCATTTTCCATAGTGGTTGTGCCATTTTACATTCCCACCAGCGGTGCATAAGAGTTCCAATCTCCTTGCAACCTCTCCAACATTTGTTATTTTCTGTTTTATTGATTCGTGCCAGTAATGTCAGTGTGAGATGGTATCTCCTTGTAGTTTTGATTTGCATTTCTCTAATGGCTAATGATCGCGAGCATTTCCTCATGTGTCTGTTAGCTGCCTGAGTGTCTTCTTTGGTGAAGTGTCTGCTCATATTCTTTGCCCAGTTTTTAATTGGGTTATTTGTCTTTTTGTTGTTGAGGTGTTGAAGTATTCTATAGATTTTAGAGATTAGACCCTTGTTGGATATGTCGTAGCCAAAAGTTTTTTCCCAGTCTGTAGGTTCCCTTTTTACTTTTTTGGTGAAGTCATTTGATGAGCGTGTTTAATTTTTAGGAGCTCCCAGTTATCTAGCTTGTCTTCTGGTGTTTTTGCATTGTTAGTTATGATTTGTATTGTATTTATGTCATGTATTAGGGCCCCTAGCATTGTCCCTATTTTTTCTTCCATGATCTTTATTGTTTTAGGTTTTATAATTCGGTCTTTGATTCATTTTGAGTTAGTTTTTCTGTATGGTGTGAGGTATGGGTCCTGTTTCATTTTTTTTACAGATAGACATCCAGTTTTGCCAGCACCATTTGTTAAAAAGACTGTCTTTTCCCCATTTAATGGACTTTGGTTCTTTGTCAAAGATCAGCAGGTCATAGGTGGATGGATTTACATCTGGGTTCTCTATTCTGTTCCATTGGTCTATGTGTCTGTCGTTGTACCAGTACCAGGCTGTTTCGACTGCTGTGGCTGTATAGTAGGGATATTGACATTTTTTGAAGAATACAAACCACTTATTTTATAGATCACAGACTATGCCCCAGTTTGGCTTATCCTCATGATCAGATTTAGTGTATCATATCTGAAGGCACGTAATATTCGTCTGCTCATCACAAGTGCTGTTAGTTTTGATCACACACCAAGATGCTGTTTTCTCCCCCCACTGTAATATTCCCATTTTTACCCTTGCTATCAATAAGCAGTCTTTGTGGAGACATTTTGAATCCCTGTAAATATCCTTCTTTTCATCAAACTTTACTTCCTAGCTATAGCATCTGTTGATGACTCTTCCCTGAGCCAGTCTTTCCTAAATTGTAGTAAAAATGTTATTTTCTAACTCTACCACTGCTGCCAATGTTTATCATTTGGTTTTCTACCATAAGGAAGAGGCTTTCCCTTCTCATTTATTTACTTACTTTTTTATTATCAGTATGAACTCATTAATTTCTGTTTTACTCAGTGGATTATTATCCATTACTACCACTATTTTGATGCTCAAATTTTACCTAGTGGGTAAGCCCTTTAAGATGGTTCCTCTATCTTTTTTACATGTCCCCACCATTTTTTTAGTTCTTCCTTATTTTCTGATACTATAACATCATTTTTATTAGTTGGAAGAGTAGCCATTGTATTACCATTTCCTTACTCTTGGTTTTTTAATTCCAGATTTTATTAAATGCTAAACGATGTTGTGATGAACATTCCAGTAACTGAATATTTACACAAATCCAAAATTATTTACTTGGATAATAACTTTCTAGAAGTGAATTTGTTAAGTTGCCCTCCAGAAACATTCTACCTATTTGTCCTAACAGTATATAAGAAAGCCCCCACCACCACCTTTTTTTTAAAAAGAATGCTGATTTTTGTCGATTCTACCCTTAATTTGGGTAGAATTTTAATCAGTGTAGGGCCTTACTACTCAACGTGTTGTTCATACCCCAGACCTCCTGAATCAGAATCTGCGTTTTAACCTCCCCGGGTGATTAACAGACACATTAAAGTCTGAGAAGCAATCTTTATACACAGCTAGGGTAATGTATACAGGATGTGTATACATGCGTGCACATATGTATCTTAAGCATGCCTTGGGGTGGGGGGGGCAGGACAATGTAGATCAACAAAGAGTACTAACACTTTTTTCCCTCAGAACACAACCTAACAGTATTTCTTCAGGCTCATCTTCACCCACTCCATCCCAATTACCCTGTACATTAGCCCATTGTTTTAATTAGTGGTCTAAGGAACACTTGTATCAGAAGCACTTGCAGAATGTGTTACAAATGCAGACTCCCAAACTCCACTCCCTCAGAGGTTTTGTTTCACTAGGGTCTGGTCTTATGCCCAAGAATCAGCATTTTAACAAGCATGTCAGGTTATTCTGGTTCCCTGAAGTTTGAGAACTACTATACCACTGCAGTTCCCAGAACACACCTGGGATATATTGTATGAACAAATGTTTTATTTATTTTAAAAGATTTTTCCCATTTTTATAAAGGCCTTCAGCTAGAAATCACTTTTTTTTGGTCAGTGGTTACATGAAATAGCTAAGCCAGGAATTATTACGTTTTAGCCCCCCCTAATTCTGACTGCCAACAAATCGGCTTGAAGGCACCTAACAACAACAACAACGGTCCTGACCAAGTGACCCTAAATTAGTCAGGATAGAAAGAATCCTGTTTGAACTGTCCTTCACCCTATCCTGGAGACTGCCTTCTTGAACCAATCCAAATTCTTTTCAGATGATACCTCAACTTTTTGTTTTTCTGTCAATATATTTTGGTGAAAGAGATTCATATTGTGGGGGAAATTTTCATGAAATATTTATTATGATTTTAGAATATATTGCTCTTACATAAATACATAAATCAAATATATTAAAGAAATTATCTATTTTAAAACTATTTTCAGTTTTTAAAATATAAATAAATTTTTTTGTAGGAGGATCAAAGAAAAAAGGAAGCAGAACATAAAAAAGGTATTTTTCTTAATACTTCATTACAGAAATCTTATTCAACATATAGCAATTCATATCTTAAAGAACCAAGAATCTATCCTAACTTCAAATTCTTACTGGAAACCAGACTTACTGAATGTATTGAGGCTGGAGGAACCCCTGAATCTATTGCCTGTAAACAACTTTTGAACCTTGAAGCAAAACTATCCCAAACAACAATTTAATGCAATAACTAAAGAATGTCTGCCTTGAGCATTATGCCCTTTTGAAGAAGTACCTGTATGAGATTGAAATGATAACAGTAACTCTAAAGCACAGATGAGAACTTTAAGGGACAGAAAGTATATATTAACGGTGGTGAAACAGTAGGGGTAGAGATGGTGAGAATGGCAACAAAATGTGAAGTATGTAACCATTGTCAGTGAACTGTACAGGAAAAATTGTTGAACAAGTCTATGTTTTGTCGTGCATATTTTCACCAAAAAAAAAGAGAGGCTATCCTAAATGTTATCTAAATATTTTTAAATACCATTTTTATTATTTATATTTATTAGTATGTGAATGGGTATATATTTTTTACAAAAGCAAAACTTTCAATGTCATGTTACGAAGAAAATCAGCATAGATCAAATCCCCACTTTCTTCTCTGACACCAGCTGCAACATGCATCACTTCTCTCTGACCCCAGCCATCTAAAGCTAGGTCAGATCTCACAGGTTAAAAGGACACCGTCCTATTTCATATTATGTCTTAGTACCTGAAAACATTACCTCCTACATAATTTTAGAAATGTGGAATATAAAATGTAATAAAGTATTAAAAGCAGCTTTAAGAGTTAATGTGTAAAATATTAAAGGTTAATATGTAAAATATTACAAAAGATAGGATTTTTAAAATAATCATAATTAAGTTTGGGGTCCCCAAGGAGTTCCCCTCACTTCTGATCTACTGCCCATAGATTCAGGGGGTTTCCCTCTACCCATTCAAGATGTCAGCTAGGAGTCCTCAGCCCTCTTATTTCTGACCTGCTGGCTCCTACTCCTTCCTCTGGTTCAGTGATTTGCTGGAACACCTCACAGAACTCACAGAAAGTGCTGTGCTTAAGATTACAGTTTTATTATAAAGGATTCAAATCAAGATTAGCATAAAGAAGAGGCACATAGAGCAAGATCCGGAAGGATTCCCAAAGCAGAGCTTCTGTGTCCCAAAGCGGTTGTGTCACCCTCCCAAGAGCAGATGTTTTCACCAACCAGGAAGCTAATGGAGGTTTGGTGTGCAGTTTTTAATTGGGGATTTTGCATTATGTAATGCAAACTCCAGCCCCTGTCCCCTGAGGTCAGTCCATATCACGAGATGATCACGAGGTAGGGCTCTCTGGCCGTGCCACCATGAGGTGATCATCACGAGGTACCCTGCAGGTCAGTTGATATCACAAGGTGATCTCAAGGCATCCCGAGGTGGAGCTCTCTGACTTGACCACCATGAGGCAATCATCACGAGGTAGGTCCCTCAGGCCTGGCCAGCCCTATCTCTGGCATAACCTGTCAGGTCTGGAATCCGTATCAAAATTCCAAGTTCCAAGGGTCACTTCTCAGGAACCAAGGACAAAGGCCAAATCACTTTAGGTAAAGCTAAATTCTGTATCATAGATATATCTTAAATAAAGTTGAGAAATTATAAAATTTGTCTCTTAGTTACACCCTAAGATGCCATAGTCAATGCCATATAGTAATACCTGAAGGTCAAAAGACATACTTCTGTAATCCTTTAGATATTTCATAGTATGTCTTAGTATCTGAATACAGTATCTCCTACATAATTTTAGAAATGCCGAATATAAAATGTACTAAACTATTAAAAGCAGCATTAAGGATTAGTGTGTAAAATATTATTAAAGATTAATATGTAAAATATTACAAAAGGTATTTTAGGATTTTTAAAAAACCTACCATTTTTGATATTAAGTGTGCAGCATAAATGATACAACAGGAAGAGCATGAGACTTAAGAGTAAAGAAAATCTAGATTGACATCCATTTGTTATTTAATTTGTGTTGGGTTACTTATCTAAGTCTTACATTCCTCTATTGTGAAGTAGTGCTAATAATAACTACCTTGAAGAATTACTGAGGGGAATAAATGATATTTGGGAGTATATCAAATTGCTTTGTAAATTTTACGACACTATAGCAATGTTTTATATATATATATATGAGTATTTTATAGGAATATTAGTTGTTATTAGTATAGAACCAAACCATAGGCTCTTCCCACTGTGGACCAAACTTTTTGTAATTTGCCTGCTCAAGGAGGCATGTATTTTTAAATTGATTTTTTTTTAAAATAAGGCAATATTTAGCTATAAATAGTTAAGAAAATCTCTCCCTTTTCTGATTTTCAGGAACATTCCAGAACTGAGATTTCTAGCCTGATTAGAATCTTTTCATGTTAAAACAGGGTTGTGTAATATACTTTCTTTGGATTTTATTTAGAATAGGCTTTCCTACTCTTGATGATCATGAAAATATTGCTAATTCCCCAAATATATATTTAATATCCCATGGTGATGATAGCAACTCAGACTTTTCTCTACAGCATTATCCTGTCCATTATAGCCTTAAAAAGAATCTGAATTTTAAAAAGTAACATTGTCCTCATAATTAAGATTTGGTTTATGAATATGTAATATTCATGTAAATCTCATTTTCTTTTACAGCAATTAAAGACCACTCTGAAGATGAATCCTGCCTTGCAACAAATGAGGTCTTTTTTGACCCATCAGAGACTAGCTCAACAACAAATTGCAGCAGTATTACAGTAAGCTTATCAACATTACCATCTGATTGCTATTACAGCCAAAGTATAGAAGCAGCTGGTGACTGGTTTTCTGATGATTCTCTAGAGAAAAAGAACTCTCGAGTGCCCTTTCTAGGGGAACCTCTAATGGAAAAAGTATTTTCATACTTGTCAACCATTTCATTAGAAGAATGTACTGAAAATGTACTGAATATGACACATTTTGATGATCAAAAAGATGACAGCATTAAGGAAATATTTTCCCGAAGAAATACAGAGGTTGAAATACAAAACCTTCAACATAATATTGAATGACTTTCTTCTTTTGAAACCTTGTATATACTGAAATCAGGTAAAGTTAAAACTGAATTACCAGCTTCTGAGTCTCTTAACATGTCCACATTACTCTTGCTTTTTGTTCTTTGCCATAGAGTGACCCTACTTCCCTTGCTGGTTCTTATTTCTAGAAACAAAATTATAGGAAGAACTAGAGTGATGCCATTGACGTTAATCGTAACTCATTGTATCTCATCAAAGGACATAATAAGTAATCGGAATGTATTTTAACACACAGTAGAAATATTTTAAGAAATCCTCAGCACAAATATATTTTTTAATAAAACAGTCACAGCATATCTTTATACCTTTGACATTTTCAGTTTTATTTTAGTGTGGGTGGGGCTGGGGGAATATTAGCTTTTCTAAATTTTAGATCATAAATCACCTGCCATTCAAATGTTATGCCGTTTTGGTAAGCAATATTATTTTGTTCCTCCATATGACTGTAAAGAATCTAGAAAATTGTCTTTCCCCTCTCCCATCTCTGTTTCTCAGAATCACCTGCTACCTCCCAACCCACTACAATGAGAACAGGTGCAGCTATGTTCATAGGCAACCGACTCAAGCTAGATGACTCAGAGTTTCTCTCCAGTCTGAGAGACCATTGGTCAAATTTCTATTTTTGAGTTGGCTTTCTGACATTCATCATGTAATTAATTTTTTTTTTCATTTTGCCGAAAGACCCTCCATGAAATTAATCCTTTTTCTTTTCTTTCTTTTTGGAAGAACAATTAACAAAGTATAATGTTACCTTTTGTGCTTATATTACTCACACCAAGACCTTTCTGTACCTTCTCAAGAGATAAATTATACCTACTACAATAAATGAAAAGAACCAAAAAACCAACCAAACCAGTTGGCATCAAGTTGATTCCAACTGATGGCAACCCCATGTGTTGCAGAGTAGAACTGTACTTCATAGTTTCAGAAACAGATCACCAGGCCTTTCTTCCAAGGGGCCTCTGGGTAGGTTTGAACGGCAAACCTTTCAGTTAGTAGTGGAACACTTAACTATTTGCATCACCCAGGGACTCCTAAATGGAAAGAAACTTGTCTTAAATGAGATAATAGAGTTTATCTAGGCCCATCATTTCTGTCCCAGGAGAAATGTTAAAAGAAATTAGAACACTTCTCTCTTTTAAAGCATTGACCTGGTCATTTCCATACAGTGTGCGTATTGGTTGTAAGCATACACCTTTTTACCTACCCCTAAGTCTACGTAAGCTATTTTATCTTAAGGTCTATATAGAGCAGTAAAAGCAAAAATTTTAGTTGGCGTCTTGGTGTCTTATTGCCTATCCTAGAGAAAGTAGTCACCTCTAATTTTGGTAAGGTCCTAAAAACTCCCTAGGAAATTGAAGTTGGAGATAAGAGATTCTGGCCTTGCCTGACTAGTCTCTGGAATAGAGGAAATATAAACGGGGGATCTATGGGCAGCCACGTCCTACCTTGTAGCTTGGGAAGAAAAAAAAACAGCAAATCGGCAGTGAGAGAGCAATGAAGCATTTACAAAGTGAAAAGCAGAGATGAGAGATCAGGAGAGTGATTCCTGGCTTTCTAACAGTGCTCCATTCTCTTGTTCCAGCCCTTCATGAAGCATGGCTATAACCCCTGCCCTTGATTGGTAAGGTACCCTTGTATCCTAATTATAAATTCTCCTTTTTGCTTAAGCTAGCAATATTTGATTTCTATTACTGGCCACCACCTGTGAGGCCTGGCTTTAACTGTTGTTCTTGGCTTTGGTAATGTACCCTTGTAACTTTATAATAAATTCTCCTTTTTGCATAAACTAGGGTTTATTTCTGTTACTATAACCAAACCGTCCTAACCAAATTCTTGTCCATATTACAAATAAGATTCGTGCATATGAAGTAATTCTTATACTATGATATAATACATTAAATTTATTTCTTCAAAACCTAATACATTTACTTGTTTGTTAAAATGTTACTCCATATCATAGGTGCGCGTATTATCCTCTTTGAAAAGTCTAGTGAGCAGCACTTATGAGTTATACATCATTCTAAAATAATCGTATGTTCAAAAACTGTGGAGGATCTGAGATTTCATCCTACATGGACGCTGACAAGTTAACCTGCTACAGTTTCGTGGATTCTTACAGGAGACATGAAACTATTAAATCAGAGACAAAGACAGTTTTTTATTCATAGCAATAGCAGTAGTCAGAACATCATCATTTTTGTGTCATTTTCCTGAGCCCTAGTTCCCAAAGGGCAGTATGAAGGCCAGATAATAGCTGTATACACAGTGGATTGCATTACAGGAAAGGGACCCTGAGTTTAGGGAACTAAATATTTTATAATGAACAGTAAGCATACCTGCCCTTTGCTACACAAGGAAACATTATCTTTACTGTACTGTCCAGTAAGTATGCCTTCTGTTTGCTCCAGAAGGAAGCACCATCTCCATCTTCCATGCCGTTTGTTACATAAACATCCTTGAAAGATAATTTGGAACATAGACAGTTTGTATCTCTGCTCACAAGACATGTAGAAATACAAAAGAGCCGTGGAGAATTGTTTCCCAATGCTTATATACTGTGGTAAAAATATACTATGGGGTCATTTATATGGCAAATAGCTTCTTTTTTGTCTTTATTCAGCCACTAATTAACACTCTCATCAGGTATTAGCTATGGTTCTTTCAATTGCAAATACCTGAAAACCAACTCAAATTACCTTAGGAAAGAAAATATTTTGTTCCTTACCTAGAAACCAAATAATGGTTGAACAACTAAATACAGGAAGCACAGGTTGTAATTGGGCTTCAGGACTAGCTGGAATAAAGGATCAAATTCCATTAGGACTTTCTCTGTTTGTACTGGTCAAGGTTCAATCAGGGAAGAAGAGCCACTATCACGTGTGAGATAAAGGATTTATTATAGGATTTATATCTTACACAATTATAAGAGGAGCTGGGGAAGTGAAAGTTCAGGAGAAAAGTTGGAGAACCAGAGGAGTCACCAGTCAGTTAACCTGAGAAGCCACCTTGTCCAACAACCACAGTAAGACTGGGAAGGGAAGACTTGTGGTGATGTCTGTTGGAAGCTGTGCCTCTGAGTAGCAACTGTCTTTGAGGGTGTGCTGTCAAGAATCTAGTCATGGGCCTGGGACCATTGTTTGTATACAGGGAGGAAGAGCAGAGCATTAAAAAGAAGAGCTAGACACAGTGCAGAGGAAAGTGAGGAGAAGTTGGAACCCACAGGCTTCTCTTCAGTCTGTTGGTAACCCATCTAAGCATGATGACCTTTACAGAGTAATGATCTCTGCTTAAATTCTGCCTTCTAAGTATTGCACAAATTCCTCTTTTTGCCAACTCTAACCTGGGACCATACAGAGAAGAGGATTCTGAGAAACAGTTCTAACTTAGTCAAGTTAATACAGTACAAACCAGCACAGACCAACATCACCAACTTGTCGTTTATTTACACATTAATCATATTTTTTGTTGCTGTTGTTGTTGGGTGCCATCCAGTCCATTCCCACTCATAGCGACCCTGTGTACAACAGAATGAAACACTGCCCAGTCCTGTGCCATCCTCGCAGTTTTTGCTGTTGGAACCCACTGTTGCAGCCACTGTGTCAATCCATCTCATTAAGGGTCTTCCTCTTTTTTGCTGACCCTTTACTTTACTAAGCATGATGTCCTTCTCCAGGGACGAATCCCTCCTGATAACATGTCCAAAGTATGTGCAACGAAGTCTCGCCATCCTCACATCTAAGGAGCATTCTGGCTGTCCTTCTTCCAAGACAGATGTGTTCATTCTTTTGGAAGTGCATAGTATATTCAGTATTCTTCACTCACACCATAATTCAAAAGCATCAGTTCTTTTTCAATCTTCCTTATTCATTGTCCAGCTTTCACATGCATATGAGGCGATTGAAAATACCATGGCATGGGTCAGGCTCACCTTAGTCCTGAAAGTGACATCTTTGCTTTTTAACACTTTAAAGGGTCTTTTGCAGCAGATTTGCCCAATGCAATACATCGTTTGATTTATTGACTGCTGCTTCCATGGACGTTGATTGTGGATCCAGGTAAAATGAAATCCTTGACAACTGCAGTATTTTCTCCGTTTATCATGCATGATGTTGTTTATTGGTCTAGTTACGAGGATTTTTGTTTTCTTTATGTTGAGGTACAATCCATACTGAAGGCTGTGGTCTTTGATCTTCAACAGTAAGTGCTTCAAGTCCTCTTCACTTTCAGGAAGCAAGGTTGTGTCATCTGCATATCGCAGGTTGTTAATTAGTCTTTCTACAATCCTGATGCCCCGTTCTTCATACAGTCCAGCTTCTCGGATTATTTGCTTAACATACGGATTGAATAAGTATGTTGAAAGGATACAACCCTGATATACACACTTTTCCTGATTTTAAACCACACGATATCCCCTTGTTCTGTATGAATGACTGCCTCTGGGTCTATGCACAGGTTCCTTCTGAGCACAATTAAGTGTTCTGGAATTCCCATTCTTTGCAATGTTATCCATAATATCTTATGATCCACACAGTCAAATGCCTTTGCAGAGTCAGTAAAACACAGGTAAACATCTTTCTGGTATTCTCTGCTTTCAGCTGGGATCCATCTGACATCAGCAGTGATATGTCTTCTTCCAGGTCCTCTGCTGAATCTGGCTTGAATTTCTGGCAGCTCCCTGTCGATGTACTTCTGCAACCATTTTTTGAATTATTTTAAGCAAAATTTTACTTGCACATGATATTAATGATATTTCCGCATTCTGTTGGTTCACCTTTCTTTGGAATGGGCATAAATATGAATCTCATCCAGTCAGTTGGCCAGGTAGCTCTCTTCCAAATTTCTTGGAATAGACAAATGAGTGCCTTCAGCATTGCATACGTTTGTTGGAACATCTCAATTGGTATTTCATCAATTCCTGCAGCCTTGTTTTTCACCAGTGCCTTCAGCGCAGCTTGGACTTCTTCCTTCAGAAC